GACGCCGCGTCCAAAGCGTTACTACAAATGTATAACATTTCGTTGAGCGTTAACACAGACGCCAATTCTGGTCAGATTAAGCACAACAACACTGTCACCATCGCACAGGAGCTCTCTCTCTGCGGGCAAATTGTGTTGCAAATGAAATAACGTTTTACTTTAAAAACTTGTCAATAGAGCTGAGGATTAGGTACGAAGGGATCGACAATTTCTCTGAATGTGAATCTCTGGAGGAATTGGATCTGTCGGGCAATACACTGGACGACTGGTCGTGTCAGAAGTTGGGCCGAGTCTTCCGCAACTCTAACCTCCGATCGCTTAATCTATCAAACAATCCTCTCATCACTAATCGTGGCGTAGAATCGCTTCATTGGATCCGATCGTTGCGGACGCTGACCATCACTGGGACGGCGGCCGCGAAGTACCCGTTTCTGGAGCTTTTAGTATTCAGTTTCAATGATTTAGTGCCTGAATGTCAAGTCATCGCAACTTAATTATTGAACCATAACTTAATTATCACTCGTTTTGTGTTGTATTATATAAAAGCAATTAATTTTTAATTTCACATATAGTTTATGTTAAAACTTGTAAATCATTTAATAAAACAAATAATTAAAATACAAAATCTAGTCAACGGTTAACGAGAGGTGAGTGAACGGGAGGGTAGGGGTCGGGTGTGTGAAGGGGTGGTGAGAGTTGTGGACGTAATTGATTGGTAGAGTCGACGACTGAAGGAGTGCTGCGTTTGCAATGTTTGCGCCATTTTATGGTTAGTGTCTGAGAGGTGTCTGAAGTGTTGAGTCCTTACATTCATTGCAACCAAACCTCGCGTAGTTAAGTTTGCCGCTGAGTAAAGACCACTAACAGAAGTAAACACTAAAAGTAACTAGACAAAAGTTGTGTTGTTGAGCATACAGCCCACCATATGTTTTAGAATTCTGTAAACCATTCAGGAGGGCTCACACACACACACACCGGCTGTCAACACACGTTGTCATCACATCTGATCCGTTTATCTGTCCATTAGATCCATTCGCCGATGCGATTAAATCCGATGACAGCGGTGTTCAGGACGGCCTCATCCACATCCGTATCCAACAGAGGAACGGTAGGAAGACGTTAACCACAGTTCAGGGCATTTCCGACAACTACGACAAGAAGAAGATTGTCAAGGCATGCAAGAAGGTATCACCGAAACGCTTCCCACCCCTTCCCCTATCAATCAAACGCATACTTATCTATTGATTAGCTTTAAAGGGCTGTTAGTGTCGGCCATAAGCTAATGAATGATTGTGTGTTTGGTTTAGCGCTTTACTGATGTAGTGATGAACTGATCCATGGTTTGTGTTTAGGAGTTCGCGTGTAACGGCACAGTTGTGGAGCACCCGGAATATGGAGAAGTGATTCAACTACAGGGCGATCAGCGCAACAATATCTGCCAATTCTTAACTAAAGTTCAGATCGCGAAACCAGAACAGCTCAAAGTCCACGGATTCTGAACCCATACACGCCATCGCATCACTCAATTACACTTCCTATCTCTATCTTAAGCCCTCTTTCCTACTCTTTGTTTCCTTCAAATTATCTCTAATTATATGCTAAACATTGAGAACAATGTTATTAAAAATATAATATTGTAAACACGATAACAAGTGATGTAAAACTCATTACTGTGTGTTTTAACTATATTTTGATGGCTTTTGTAACGTTAATTCAATTGATTGATTAATTGTTGAAAAGCGAGGTTTCAAACGATTTTTATTATTATTACTTATAATTTCTATGAAATTACAGAAACCAATCGAAATATACGATTTCAATGGATTTTAGTGTTGATTATAGGCTTTTGGTATTAAACTTTCAATACTTATTGAATAATTTTAATAATAATAATACGAATAAATATTTTAATCCATTTCTTGATTTAAAATGACTTAAACATAATTAGGAATTTAAATGTTAGTAAAAATTTTTATCCTTTATTATTAATAAATAAATTTTTTAAAATAAATTTATATTATGTATAATTTTTGTTATATTTAAATGTCTTATAAGTAATGTATTGATAGATATATGATATGTGAAGGGATGAAGACTTTTCTAATTGTATTTACGATAATATTCTTCTAATTAATTAAATTTATATTATGTATAATTTTTGTTATATTTAAATGTCTTATAAGTAATGTATTGATAGATATATGATATGTGAAGGGATGAAGACTTTTCTAATTGTATTTACGATAATATTCTTCTAATTATCAAAAACTAAACACAACTTTGAAATATAATTATATAATTGTTTTTGTATTTGTAATTGTGTTACGGAATCCTTATTTAGATATTAAAAACAAGTGAAATGAACCGAAAGTAATGTTTCAATCATTTAATTGATTTAATAGTTGATTAAAATGAGTACTAAATTGTGTTGAAATGTGTGTCCAATTGAAAGGCAAAGCAATTATTGTGTCAATTATTATACAATCCCTGAGTTATAGAAACAGTTGTTTTGAAATTGTGTTGAAAAACACAACAAAAGCCAATGTTTTGATGGTATGATTGGAAGTGATTGAGTGACCAAAACAACACATCCATGGCTTATATGAACGACGACGTGATGATTGTCGGCGAAAGACATGCCTTTCTGACGGCCGGTGATGGCCGGCGACGACCCAACACTTGTAATGACCACTCAATTGAGACAATAACCACTTTATTAAACTCTTTACTTTGATTGCCATTACATGTGATAATTAGATGCAAATGAATTGAAAATGTCACAAAACATTGATTTATCTTCAAATGAAGATATTATTTGCCACACAATCGATGACAACAGCGAAGACATGAATGAAACAGATATACAAGAAGTGTTTGATAACCACAGAAATGAATCCATTAATACAGATGACTGAATGTTTTAAATAGAAATTGTTTTAATTGAAATATATAATTTATCATTGAATTTGATAAATAAATGTATTCATTGCTATTCATATGAGATATCAACCCATGGGCTATTATGTAAGTTTCTTAGAGAGGGTGGGGGCTTACCTAGGTAATACCCCATGCTATTTTGAAGTGTACCTGAGTCAGAGACCCCTCATTTAATACCCCATGGGCGTTTATGTGACGTAATACGGTACTAATAATTAATTAATTAATACCGAACTCTATATATGTTTTAAATAATTTCATTTCAAACGTTTTCAATTCAAAGTTTTAATTAAAAATAATTAGTAAATTATATAAATATATATTTACACACTTGTAATGACAATTTGAATGTCACTTAACACCAAAAATTACAAACAATATTTACTAAATGTGGTGCAAATTATTCATTGTTTTAAATGATTATAATTTATATACAAATTCACTAAAAAATGAAACAAATGTTCACTTCTATAATATTGTCTCTTCGATACCTCCAATGAGAATCAATCATAGATTTGCTGATTATTGGTTGAATTGTGTGGACAAGAGTCCCAAAACATTACGAATGTTATGAAGTGATTGCAAAAGACATCAATGATTGCAAATGTTTGGTCACAAGTATAGGCACCAGACGTCTAAAGTTATAACGATTCCTAGTGTCGGCCAATAGTAGTCATTGCGGTATATTTGAGTCAATTGTGATCTCGTTAATGGATTGCAACCAATTAAGCCTTTAAATGAATCCTTTCATATAATACATCTCATGGTATGGATCTATAACCTGAACAGATCCACTTCAGTGGGCACTAGTATATTTGAGTCAATTGTGATCTCGTTAATGGATTGCAACCAATTAAGCCTTTAAATGAATCCTTTCATATAATACATCTCATGGTATGGATCTATAACCTGAACAGATCCACTTCAGTGGGCACTTGTATCCATTGACCCAGATTTTGCTCCTGAAACGCCTGCATGCATAGGGTTTTGGCCCTTTGGTACTCGTGGGCGGAGGTCTTGCCGTCTCTATATATCACTGGAATGTTTGATCCCAAAGAACACGTGGGAAGAGTGCATGTGTTTCGGCCCAACAGAGCGCAGAATCGGCCAAATAGTGTCCGTTTGGCCAAACGAGACGAACCCGTGTCCGTCCCGTGAAGTCTACCGCTTTCGGTCGATATCACTTCCGGCGTGTCGTCCCCTTTCATCCAATTGAGCGCATAATTGGGTGCTTTTGTTAACTGGAAAAACACAACTCGAGTGTTGAAACAAATGTAATTAGAAATTCGTGAGAGAGAACAGTACCTGTCGAGTGATATCATCTCTGAGCTGACATTTAGCCACTTTTGACTTATTGAGCGCATAGTGTGTGGGCATGTCTTTCAAAGAGTTGGAGTCATAATTGAGATTCAGTCGCGAGTGGACGGCGCGAATCAAGTGCTCGTAATTGAACAGTGAGGCCAACACTACGGACTCCAAATATATGGGCTCTAATATGTGGCTCAATAGAGCGCCCTATGGTTGACAACACAATAACACAATTGAATAAACAATTCAAATGTAAACCCAATTCAATGAATACCTGTATTCCGACGACATTCCAAACGGCAATCTTATCGGAACACGACATGAATTGCAACCTTTGGTGGCCCTGAAGAATGCCATCCCATGTGAGGATAGCGTCTCTCTTCACAGGTATAGTCCCCTCTCCGCCTTCAATCTTAGCTCTCAATAGTCCGCGGGTTTGCCTATTCGGATGCGCATCGCCTTCCGTCTGGACCGACATATTTGTCATTATTATGTCATTATTACTACTAATTCATTGTTATGTTCACTGACCTCCTCTTTGGGACTGAAGACACGGGAGTCACCGCACGGCGCGGTACTAATGAATAGATTCACTTTTATATTTTTCTTTAACCTAAAGCCATAGCCGTCCGGACGCTTCTCTATTATAAATTCCGGTTTATCTGTCAAAACAAATTCGTTATAAAGAGTGGAAACAATTATCACGATTAAAACTCTGTGTCCAAACCTTCGTAACTATTATCGACAAGACTTTCAATTTGATTATAAATGTACGAAACAAAAGCACGTCTGGCCAACACTTCCGCGTGACAGTCGTTGAGCGCCGAGCCGTTCATTGAAAGGCTGTCCCCTTTGACACATTTTGTGCCACTCGTCATACAAATCACATCAACGAACTCTGCGTTCGTCTCGTCAGTCAATACGATCGCCGAAAGTACTGTCCATTTCTTGAGATCAACTAATTTCTCCCATATTTCGCCGCATTTGGTCATCACTTGCCGACCAATCCTATCGGCGATGTCCTGAACACCGGAGAAATTGTGATTAATTAGAGGCCAACGAAACTGCATATAACAATCTATACCTGTTTGAGGACGAGAGGCTCCTGTGCGATGGTGACAGTGTTGTTGTGCTTAATCTGACCAGAATTGGCGTCTGTGTTAACGCTCAACGAAATGTTATACATTTGTAGTAACGCTTTGGACGCGGCGTCGGCTTTGGCCAACTTCTTCGTACGGCCCGAACCGGTGTAGCACTGGTTGGCCAGCGGTAACAGTAATCTCATCTCAAATGTGGATGAATGCGATTTGGGTCCGGCGTGTAGTTCAGTGCAAACCCAAGTGGCGTTTGGCTGCAACTCGTGTATGAGTGACACCGGGTTCTGATTGCCCGAAGTATCTCCTCCCGTCACTCGCAGTATAATTCGTTCGTTTCGATTGGTCGCCACCTGTGGTTCGGTCGGCGCGCTCTCCGTCTTCGTGTCCATCGACTCGTCTTCGGCTTTATTATCGTTGAATTCGACGAAATCATCGGAACAATCGTCGGCAGTAAAGTCATACTTTTTGGACCCCTTATTGGCACTGGTGTTGGGCTCGTCCACAGGTGTTGTCTTCGGTGCAGTTGTTGTATCCGCACCAGAGGTGGACACCTGAGTGTCCGGCGGGGCGTTAAAGTCCTGTCGGAAGTCGTCAAATGGTGGTCTACTAAACAACTGGTGATCATCGACGGGACGACTGTATGGCGTGTCGTGTTGTGAATGATTGCGATAATAGGGTTGATATCTATGGTAGTGATCGAAACGATGCCGAAAGCGGGACTCATAGGGAGAGTCGGCGAAAGCGGATTCGCCATAAGGTTGGGGTCCGTCGGGCGGCCAATACATCGGAGCCGACGATTCACTCTCGAAGTAATTGACGGCCTGTCGGGCGGCTTCGTGTCGGGCCTTCTGTTTGGTACGACTCGTGCCGACAAACTTCATGCCATTCACGTGAACACCGATCCGGAAGACGGGGTCGTGAGCCGGTCCGCTGCGGCCCTCCTCCACATAGGAGGTCCCGCTCGGGAACATCTCGTTCAGTGTCTGCACGTAAGAGGTGTTGCTTTTGACATCATTTGCATCTAATTATCACATGTAATGGCAATCAAAGTAAAGAGTTTAATAAAGTGGTTATTGTCTCAATTGAGTGGTCATTACAAGTGTTGGGTCGTCGCCGGCCATCACCGGCCGTCAGAAAGG